GTAGGGTGGAGTTTTGCTAGTGGCATGCTGCAGCTGAGAATGAAGTCCCTGCTGCTTAGGTGTGTGGTAGTTTTGATACAGAGAAACTCTGACCCTCTGTCCTCACTCAATGTGAAGAACTTTATTGTGGTTTGTGGTGGCAGGGCACCAGCTTAATGGGGCTGAACTCTGAAATGAGCTGTAAAAGAATTCCAGATCGTTTAGCCAAGGATTTCTTACACGTGCTAGGTGCTCACTTTTTGCCAATAACAAAATGGCTTCTTATGAGCAGGCTGTAAATTGTACATCTGAACATCTTCACAAGCACAGTTGGATTGTGGCTATGCGGTGGGTGTAGTGCGCAAAGCAAAAGAATCCGAACAAGTTGGTCTTGATGTCAAACTAAACCCCTTTTTCCACCCCCACCCTCCAGCCTATGTCTGTCTTGAGCAGAGGACAATGGCTGGAGCAATGGTGTCTAGACTACCTTAGTCCTGAGGACTAAATATTTTAAAAAGGCTCTCGCTACCAATAGCTAACTTGCAGGCCTGCAGGTGAGCAAAGGTTACAGCCAACCTTGGTTTGTGCAGCTGCTCTGATTCCAAGGGCTGTTCTCTGTGCTTTTCATAAAGCAAGTGGTCACCTGTGCTGGTGCCCTCTAAAACTCTTTAAAGGATGGAGTGGGCTGTGGAGACCAGCCCCCTAGCTGTAAAGCTTTCCTGTAGATAGCTGAGGACCAGGTATAAAAAGCCTGCTTCCTTGCCACTGTTCAGCCTCTCCAAAGAGCCCTGTCCTCAGGCTACAGCCCTGTCGACCCAGCAAACCTTAATTGGGCTGAGAAGCTGAAATGGCAGGATGTTGTCAAGTACAAGACGCTGCTTGTTCCAGGCCTGGCTAATGACTTTGGACGCGCGCAGGTCAGTTGTACTTTTTTGCATTTTGCAACTTGCCCAACAAAAAATGGGCTGAGTGGGTTGCAGTTGGCTTGCCTCAAGTGTGTAGATTCTAAGTGCTCCAGCGTGTTCATGATGCATGTTCAGTGTCAGCAACAAGCTTTTGATAAAATGATCCCTCTCTTTCCTAAATGAAGAGAGAACCCACCAAGAGAGCAGAATCCAGACCTCGACTCCTACACTTCTTTGGGCAAACTTCCTTTAGCCATGCACTGAGTACTGGGAACACTTCTTCTGGGGGTGGGGAGCTAGCCTGGCCATGCCTACCTACTTCCCCTTCTAGTTGATACTGCAAGCTTGGGCAGCAAGGGGACCAGCTCCCTTAAGCTGTAACCAGCTTGCCTATAAAATAGTTAAAGGAACCTACCTATCTGCATCTTTTGAGTTACTTCTCAAGACCTGTGGCTAAAAGAGGGAAGCCATTGTCTTGGTGTATCTCGCAGTGTGTTGTGCAAGTCGGTCCCCTACGTGTGCGGGAAGCTGTCTCGCAACAAGAAGGGAGAGATGCTTTTAACAAGGAGAAATGCAGAATATTGGGATGCTGCAGGCCCAGCACTTGAAGCCACCCCTACCACTTCTAACCTGATGAGATTGAAGGCTTGTGGGGGGAGGTCTTTTTTTTTTTTTTAATTCTTCAAATATGCATTGTTATATGATGACCTTGGAAACCACCCAAGAATAAGGGGCCTTGGCTAGTGTGAGCTCTGTGGGAAGAGGAAGGTGCTACAGGGGCTTCAAGGAATCTGCTGCTTTTCTTGTCCATGTTTGCAGGGCTGGAGGAGGGACGCAAGCCTGCACTCTGTCTGGGAGCTGGAAATGGAGTTCTTACGTTCTGCTGTTGAGAAGTAACTAAGCAGGTCTGTAGCACACATTCAGCTGCTAGCTCGGAGGCAAAACGACATTGACCTCACCCCTCTTCTGCTGTAGCAGCCGTCCCTGCAGTAAGGGTTCACTTCTCATCAGGATCCTTGCACTCCTGCTGGTTCAAGCAGTAGGTACACTATTGTCTGAGGATGAAAGCCTGATCTCTCCTATTCCTGTGCTTCCTTTCTCTATCCCCTACACTGCTAGAACTTGGGACAGGCCATCTTGATTTCTGTGTTGGGTATCCTACAGACAGCCATGATTTGCAGCTCTGGCTTTTGTATGCAGCCAAGACCAAGTCATCCCAGTCCTACCCTCCCTTGTAAGAGTCACCTCTGAGGTTGCTGGCAAGAGTGCGATCTGGCTGTTGTTCCCAAGCACAGGGGCCTGCTCCAAAGCCCACTGATACCATTGGAAGTCTTTTATGTAACTAGAATGGGGCCCTGCCTTATGATAGGTACTTGAGGGGGAGGAGACTGGCAGGTGTGTGTGGGAGAAACCAAGACACTGTCCTGTTGTGGCTAGCTGCCTTTCTGTTGCTTGTTTATTTGAGAGAGATGCATTTGTACAGGGCTGCACAGGGCAGAGAGCTGGCTGTCTGGGCTGTAGAAATCAGTCCCAGTTCATGGTTTAAGTTCTAGATTGCTTCAGTTACTGGCTTTTTTTGAGGAGTCCCCAGCCTCTCACTGGGTGCCTAGTTTCAGCTGTGATTGATCACTAGATTTTTTGAAGCAGTGGTCTGCAGATGCGATGCCAGCTCCAAATCTCAAAGCTAGTTAGTCTTGCTAGTAATATGCTGCCTTTTTGTGCAGGGGTTGCTACTAAGATCAGTTGAAAGGCTTTTGCCTAATAACATAGACTGAGAAGGCCTAACAGGTGAGCTGAGGGAGACGCTTTTTTTTTAATTGGTGCAGCTGTCCCATTCCCACCCCCATCTGACTGCAGAGCTTCTAATGGCCAGATGAAAATCCTTATAATGTAGCCTGTGCACTGGGTCCCTGCTCCAGTTTATATGGGAAACCTAGGACTCAAACAGCCTAGTAGCATGCATCACTTCTAGCATGGTCTTTTGCTTCCTACAGGCCTTTCCCACCTTTTTTGCATGTCATCTTTCTTAGCTGTAGGCTCCATAGCAGGAGAACAGAATGGGTTTGATCAGTCTCTGCCAGTGGGGCTATGGTTTTTGGATCATATTCTTGAACGTAAGTCCCACATGCAGGCAGACCATGGGTCCAGCTAGCCCAGTACCTTGTAGTTCACAGCAGCAGTGAACAGATGCTAAGGGCCTGATCTGTCCACTGTTCCTTCTGGCTCCTACAGGCCTAGGAAAGCCTAATTTGAACTAAGATAATGCAGTGTTTTATAATGATAATCTTTCCAAACAACCATAGTTGCTCCTGACCAGCCTGGCTGCAAGTGCTAGGCATTGGAGACCTCCCCAGGATCCATGGGAAGCAAAGAGGCTGTTAGACCTTGATGGCTGTTTCCCTAAACAGCCTCTGAATGCAGCCGTGCTTGGCCTGTTTACCTTCATCTTGAGAGAAGTGAAGCAAAACTAGCTCAATGGCTCCCCTTCTGGCAGCTCAGGGCCAGCTGTGCTACAACATTAATTTCCAGAGAGTACTGAGGGTAGGTAGGGAAGGACTGCAAATCCAACCAGCCAGTGCCCCAAGAGGCTTCCCCTCCTGCTCTCCCAGACATCTCATTAATGGATCAGGTGTACTAGTAGAATGGCGTTCAAGGTAAAAGTCCACAGCCCTCTATCTTCCCTGCACTGACAGCCCTGGGTTTGCTGTATTGCTGCTCTAGTGCAGTTCCCCAGACCAGCCCACCCTGGGAGTGGTAAGGGCAGGACATGACTCTCTTCCCAGCCCTTTGAAACACACTGTAGAGTGCTGCTGCCTGCTGGAGTAGGTGGATTCAGAGGAGGGATTCATCCCTGCCCTCATCTTGCTTTACTTGTAGCAGCAGGTGAAAGACCTGCCCTCCATGGCAGTGTGAGCTGACACCGCTACCTGGGCTCAAGCTGCTTTCTGGGAAACCATGGACCTGTTTTCAAGGGGGAGGCTGAAGCCACTGCCTTAGGTCCCAGGGCAGTTGCGTTGTCAGGGGTGGCTGGGAAGGGGAAGCTTTGGGCTCGAGCATCATCTGAGAAGTCCTAGCAACCCTCTCGAGTTCTCCTTCTGTGCCAAGTGAGGACTGCGTGGCTCCTAGGTCCTGTCAAAGCAGGAAGGATGCAGCACCTGCAAGAGGGCTGGCAGCACTGTGCCAGCGCAAGGAACATTACACAGGTGGCCATGAGAGACCAGGGCCTTGGATGCCAGTGGAAGAAAGAGCATCCCAGCAAGTGTGAGGCCTGCTGGGTAGGTGTGCTTAAAGCAGGGGACTGGAGGGCAATGCCCTAGTTAGGAACAGCAGCTATTGAGCCCTGATGCAAAAAAAAAAAGGAGATGCGGGGCCTTAGTCCTGGCTGTAGGGGAAGAAGACCCTGACTTGTTGCATCTTTAAAAGGAAAAGGAGGGGCTGGCTGGTGCCTGGTCCTTGCTACCTGGCTCTTGCTACAGCCTCCCAGGCCTGCACCAAAGGCCCTAGCTTCTTACAGGGGGCGAAGGCATGCTGAAGCACAGCTTAAATTGTGCTGCAATTTTGCCATTGCTCATAGAAGAGCTCCTTTCTCCCTCCCCGGGCTGAGCCTTGGTTCAGTGGTTGTCCCTAAGGACAGCAGCGGTGCAGCCTACAAGTGATGGACGCTGGGAGCTTCCTGGAGCAGCCTGGACCAAAAATCCCTGGGGGGTCAGGAAACTACCTGCACTGACCTCTGGGGAGGGCTCCCTTCATCCCATCCAGCCCCCACCCCTAGCACTAGGTGGGGGATGGTGTTGCAGGACGATGGTTCCACCCACTGCCACCCTAACCGGTTGGTTCCACCCACTGTCCCTCCGGGACAGCGCCCCCCTTCCCCCCCCGCCCATGGCAGCCCCATGCAGGTGCC